GAGTCTCCTGTGTCGAAGGACCAGAGTTAATCTTGCAGTGTTTGTCTTTCCAGGCACTGGGAGGCCATGGCTATCCTGTTTGCTGTCGTGGCAAGGGGCACCACCATCCTGGCCAAACATGCCTGGTGTGGAGGAAACTTCCTGGAGGTGACAGAGCAGATCCTGGCGAAAATCCCATCCGAGAACAACAAACTGACCTATTCCCATGGAAAGTGAGTAACACCTCTCCTCTGGGTCTGGGAGGAAACCAGTGAGCATGTACAGGGCAGGAATAAACAGAGCGTGTTTGGAGTTTTTTTCTGTAATTGTGTGGTTTTTCTGTCCCAATTCCCATTTGGATGTGTATTGGCTGAGGGAGTGTGCATTCAGCTCAGCAGCTACTTTTTTTTGCCCAGAACTTTGCAGCATAACAGGATTTGAGTTTGGCTCAAGCAGCAAGGACCAAGGCAATTGATCCCAAATCAAGGTTTCTATTTTTATGCCACTCCAAAGTGAGCCGGAGGGTGCTCAGCTGTGGAATCTTTAGAGTTTGGCTTATGGAATCCTTCACTGGCTTTTCTGAGGCTTCAGCATGGCTTTAGGTAAAACTGTTTCCCTTTGTGGGTCGCTTGTGGATCCTGTGTGCTTTCAGGATGGTCGTGTGGAGTCACCTGAGCTGCCACAAATCCACTCTGTGCAACACAAAGACTTTTCCCAAGATTTTTGCAGACCTCTGAGCAGTCCTTCAACAGTGTTGGGATTAGATGTTACATTGCCTGGGTCTTACTGTACATGTGAAGTAGGTGAGTTAATGTGCTGGTGAGCAGCCTAAAACAGCTCTGGAAAAAGCAAATATAGGGTTGTTGGACTCCAGCTCTTTTTTTAACATTGGCAGCATGGCTGATACTCTCTGTTCCCCAAGCGGTGGTGTTGGAGCTGTTCTGGCTGCCTGAGGATTCCAAAGATGAGAATTGGAGTAGTCTTCCCACACCCTTCCCTGGTGTGGGAGGAGAAATCTGTCTGCTCTGTGGTCTGTCCTACCTTGGATGCTGAAGGATTTTTTTTCTGGCACCCTTCCCTGGCGTGGGAGGAAAAATCTGTCTGCTCTGTGGTCTGTCCTGCCTTGGATGCTGAAGGATTTTTTTTCTGCTGTAGTTCTAAGGATTCAGTTATTTCCTCTGAGTGAAGGGAACTAACTTTGCCTTGAGTGCTGTTCCATTAACTAAAAAGTTGAGTTTTAGGAGTGCTGTGGTGCATTTTACAGATAACTGGGCAGAACATTAAAGCTGTGAAGATGAATGAGCACAAGGAGTTATTGTTCCTCCTGTCTGTCGTGTTTCAGGGATCCTCTGCCTTGCCAGGGTCCCAGACTGTAGGCTAGAAAATTCCCTGGTATCTGTGTAAAATAGTTTTTCCTTTTCTGAAACAGGAAAAAACTGGAGTTTCTTTGAACTTCTGAAACTCATGTAATGAGTTCTTTTTGTTTTTAACAAGAACTTCTGTGTCTTTTCTACAATCTCCAAGGGAAACCATCCCTGTGGCATCAGGAGTTCTTGGGGTTATTCTGTTGCTGCTAAGATTCTTCTGAGTCTCTGGGGAGCCTACAAGGTAGTCCCAGAGAAGCTTCACCTCTCTCCTGCCAGAAGAGCTGTGGTAATGGAAGGATTTTTAAATTTTTTTCATGGGAACAGAACTTCAGCGCAGTAAACTCTACTTCTAGGCCATTCCTAAAGCTTATTTTGGTGTTGTCTTAATTCCGTAATACAACAGCTGAGTGTGAAAGCTCCTGAACTGTGCCCTTGGAGCAGGACAAGGCATTAACTTGCTTTATTCTGAGGTTTGTGAGAGGCTCCAAATGGTTCCTGGGGAAACTTTTGGGAATACACAAGTGTCAAAGTGAAAGGATACACGGATTTTTTAATTAGGGAAAACACAGAGTATTCATGTGGTCCATTTCAGTGGTGACTGCAGTGATACCTTTGTGGTCATCTCAGTTAGGTGCTGCTCTTGTCACATGTGATAGTTCCTGGATGTTTGTGTGCACTTTGATTAGGATTAGACATAAGTCTTACCCCTGGGGATCTCTCAAGACTTTGTGTTTCCAAGAACGTGGAACAGAAGTTTTTTGGTAACTAAATGTCCACCCAAGTTGCTTTTAAGCCTGGAAGTTGTGAAATACATGAGGGCAGTGGGGGACCACCACAGTGAGGAGGTCCTCACCACAGTGAGGACCACCACGTGTAGGTGGTCTCTAGTTCAGTGTAACTCATCAGAATGGAAACACTGAGAATTGCAGAATAGAATCCCAGAATGGTTTGGGTTGGAAGGGACCTTAAAGATTGTCGACTTCCAACCCCCTGACATGGGCAGGGACACCGTCCACTAGCCCAGGTTATTCGAAGCCCTGTCCAATCTGCCTTCCAGGGATGGTGCAGCCACAGCTTCTCTGGGCAACCTGTGCCAGTGCCTCACCACCCTCACTTACCTGAACATTTGGCTAAGATATGTCATGTCAGTTCCTGTAGAGTACCTGGAATTTGCTCTTTTCCAGCCCCTGAATGTCCTGCAGGCAGGAGTATCTTCTGGAAAATGAGTCCTGTGGCAGCTTCAAATGATCTTTTTCTCCTCTTTTTTTTTTGTCTTTGCAGTTACCTGTTCCATTACATCTGCCAGGACAGGATCATATACCTCTGCATCACAGATGATGTGAGTACTTTGATTACAGCTATTGCATGGTGAGGTCCTTTGCAAGTTTGGGGTTTCTTGTATCTGTATGTCAGTTATTAGTGGGTGCTGATCTGAGGTGCCTTTTCCCCATGGGAGCTACTGCTTGTGTTCTCATTCACATCAGTGACAGCTTTGAAATATAAGCCTGGAAATCAAATCATAGGGTCCTGAAAGGGTTTGGGTTGGAAGGGGTCTTAAAAATCATCTAGTTTCCCCCCCTGCCATGGGCAGGGACAGCTCCCGCTGCATATGAATTGTTAGCTTTGAGATGAAGTTCTAGTTTTTACTAGTTTCTCTGTTAGCCCCAGTGCAGTGGGCTGGTGATGTAGAGGCCATTTCAGTTGTCAGTGGAATATACTGATGCTCCTCAATCCTTCATATGCTAAAGTAAAAGGTTTTCACTGCAGAAAGGTGCCAGGCACAGAGTTAGAACTGTGGCTATCCAGTTGGGACTGCAGTCTGACTGCTTCCAACCTCAGTCCAACCCCAGAGTGTCCCACACTGACCTGCCTGTGTCTCTCTCCAACTACCTCCATGCCCTGTGCATGTCAGTATTCACAGAATCAGTTAGGTTGGAAGGGACCACAGTGGGTCATCTGGTCCAGCCTATTCGAGCAGGGCCACCCTAGAGCACATGGCTCAGGATTGCACCCAGACGGTTCTTGAATACCTCCAGTGAGAGAGAATCCACAACCTCTCTGGGCAACCTGTTCCAGTGCTCAGTAGCTCACACAGTAAAGTTCTTCCTCATATTGAGGTGGAACTTCCCATGCACCAGTTTTTGCCTGTTACCTCTTGTTTTATTGGTTTCCACAAGTGAGAAGAGTCTGATCCATCATATTGGCACTTCCCATTCATGCACTTGTATATATTAATGAGGTACCTCTCAGTCATCTCTTCTTGAGACTGAATAGGCCCAGTTCCCTCAGCCTTTCCTCATGAATGAGGTGCTCCAGTCCCCTAATCATCTTTGTTGCCCTCTGCTGGACCTGCTCCAGGAGCTCCATGTCCCTCTTGTACTGAGGAGCTGAAAATTGGACACAGTACTCCAGATGTGGTCTCAAGAGGGCTGAGTAGAGAGGCAGGATCACCTCCCTTGACCTGCTGGCAGTACTTTATTAATGCATCCCAGAATTCCATTGACCTTCTTAGCCACAAGGTCACACTGTTGACTCATGGACAGCTTGTTGTCCACCAGGTTCTCTGCAGGGCTGCTCTCCAGCAGGTCAGTGCCCAACCTGTCCTGGTGCTTGGAGCTGTTCCTCCCCAGGTGCAGGACCTGCACTTGTCCTTGTTGAATCTCAGTTGGTTCTTCTCTGCCCATCTCCCCAACCTGTTGAGCTCCCTTTGAAAGACAGCACAGCTCTCTGAGGTATCAGCTACTCCTCCTAGTCTTGTATCATCAGCAAACTTGCTGAGCAGGCACTCTGTCCCTTTGTCAAAGTCATTGATGAATAAGCTGAACAAAACAGTATAGAACCATGGGGGACATCACTAGGGACAGGTCTTGAACTAGACTCTGTGCCACTGATCACAGCTCTCGGATCTGTCGCTCAGCCAGTTCTCAATCCACTCATTCAACCCCCACTTCTTAAGTTTTCCAGTGTGGGACACAGTGTCGAAAGCCTTGCTGAAGTCAAGGTAGACAGTGTTCACTGCTGATGTGTCCGTTCCTGATGTGCTGTGCTCTGTCCCTTCCAGGACTTTGAACGATCCAGAGCCTTCACCTTCCTGAATGAGATCAAGAAGAGGTTTCAGACCACATATGGCTCGAGGGCCCAGACAGCCCTTCCCTATGCCATGAACAGTGAGTTCTCCAGTGTCTTAGCTGCACAGCTGGTGAGATTCTTTACTTTACTTACTGAGATTCTTTACTTCTTTAGCCAAACTTCTTCCCAGGAATTGCCCTTGTGTTTTCTCCCTGGGAACTGAATGGAAAGGGGGAGGTGGCTGTACTCAAGCTTATCCTGTGGCTGGGTTGCTTCACAATTAAGGGTGAAAATGGGTTAACAGTGATGGATTAACTCTCCCAGGTACCTGCACTGGAGCTAGAGCTTAATGGTAACATTGGAAATGTCCAGCCTGGTTCCCATTCCCCTCCAATGCAAGGGGATGTTGCTGTCACTGACAGCAGGACAAACGTGGTACTCCTGTTCTGTTCAGCTACAGAACTTGGGTGTCTGACTGCCTCCTACTTCCCTTCCTTTCTGTTCCTGGCATTTCCAGTGGCTGCTGGAGCATGACAGGGTGTTTGCTTGTGGCACTGTGCTTGTCAGGAAGAAAGAAATCTGGGCTTGGATCACAGTCAAGCACAGAACTGTGGTAGATCTCCAGCTTGCAATGAGACTCCATGGATTTTAATTCCCAAAATGGGTAGGAGGAGCAGAAGGAAGGAGGTTCAAGAGCAGGATAAATGACTCATGAAAGGTCCCTGAGTTAAGATTTGCTTTGGATCCTTGCAGACCCAAAAAGAGGAGTGTGAGGGGATTGCACAAGTGAGGAGAAGATCTTTTTCACCCTCAACTTGCCCTTCCCAGCTGATGTTGAGGACAATGCTGGATTCCAAGTCCAGGCACTGTGGTGTCTGCAAGATGAGTTTGCTCTACTGGGATAGTTCCAGTCTGGATTCTGCACAGGCAGAACACTGTCAATCTCTTTTGAAAGAAATTCCCAGTTTCAGAAGACTATTCTAGCTACTCTGGGTCTGTTCTTGGACTCCTGAAGGGAAAGGTTGGGCTGGAATCTGCTTCCCTCTTGGAGTGCAGAGGAGTTCTGTGCTGATTTTGCTTACCACAGGGCTTTGGCAGAGCCTTGATGTCCAGCCTGTGGTCACGAGAGCTGTTTGTCTGCTGTGAATCTGTGTATCTGAGGTGTGCAGAGCCCACAGCTGCCAGGAGAGATCTGAAATCATTGTGTTGCTTTATCTGTTTTATTCCTAGCAGCATTTGGATGAGCTTCTGAAGGATTTCAGTGCACAGCAGTGTTTGCATCTCCCTTCAAGAACCTTTCACAGAGCACATAATTAACTTTTCTTGACTTGCTGTGTAACCTGGGCCTGCACACACCCTGCTCTGCTGCTGTGGGGCTTTTCATGGGGGAGAGGAGGACAAAAAGCAGAGAGCAGTTGTTCTGGGTGTGGGGTTGGGCTGCTGTTAAAACATGAGCTGTTAATGTAGAGGGAATGATGCTGTTCCTGCTTCTCCCCAGGGTTTGGGCTGCAGTGCTGCACTCCCAGCACCTGAGGGGAGGACAGGCCTGCTGCTAGAGGGAACGTCAAGTTACATGAGTGAAGTCAGATGGAAGATAGAGAAGGAATAAATAACTGCCTGGTGACTTGGACGATCAATAGTCTTACTAGTGAACAAACCCTCAGGCTGCAGGAAGGTCTGTGAGGAAAGGGCTTGTATCTCCACTCTTAAGAGACTTTAATTGACTGCAGACAACTTGAAAACCTGAATAGTGTCTGTTTGAGGTTGTTTGTTGGGTTGTTTTGGGGTTTTTTTTGAGGTATCTCTTGAATTAAAGACCAGATGTCCTTGGAATATTGGCTTTCAGGGCTTGAACACACTTTGTAGCTAGGGCAGCTACACTGGTGCTGAGCACATGGGGTAGGAGATTCTCAGTGCTCTTCTGTAGCTGGTAAGCACATTAGTGCTGCTGCTGTTCTCCATGGCAGGTGTGTCTCTTTTCCTGCTTATGTGTGGGAAGTGACAGGTTTGGTGATGTTCCAGGTGCAGGAGGAGGAGCCCTTTGCTGGGGATGTCTGAGCAAAGCTCTGGCCTCTAAGTGTAGAAATTTTGGAACACTCACAGCTGTACTAGTGTGTTGAGGTGAAGGGTGAGGCAGGACCCTGAGGGAGGGGAAGGTGGAGGATTTGCACCTGCACTGTTGCTGCCTGAAGTTTGTCCTGGAATTTGGGACAGGAGCCATGTGTTGGTGCCCACAGTGACTGGTGAAGGTGGTTTGGATCACAGAGGATTGCACATAGCTCATTTCAGGAGCTGTTCTTTGGCTTACACAGTAGAGAGAGAGCAAGGAATAACAGTGCCAGTGCATAATAAATGAGATTAACTTCCACTGTGTGATAGAACTGAGTTTTCCCTCTCCATGAGGCTTTGATATGTGGGGACTGAAACTACATGAAGTGCTGATGCATCAGTTTGTGAGCTGTTCAGGGCCAGAATAAGCTTAATGAATTTCCTTATCAGAAGAGCCAGGAGGTCCTCAGAGCCATGGTGCTGACATTCCTCTGAAAATTCAGCCTTTCCATATCTTAAAGCATGGGAGGAGCTGCCTGCCTTAGCTTTTGCATATTGATGGCAATCCAGGCATCACCTAAGAGGAGTTAAGTGATGACAGAGGTCTTCCCTCCCAGTGCTGTCCAAGGTGAGAGCCTGACTGACATTACCTGTAGGGCAGGAGCAGGGATGCTATCCAGGTGATTCCTGGCACTAGTGTGAGGTTTAGGGGGAGGCAGAAATCACACTCCAGCGCAAGTGCAGCACACAGATAATCCTGGGAAGAGAGGCTACACTCCCAGTAAAACCAGTAACCAGCTCTGATGGTGTGCCAGTCTGCACCTTCTCCCAAACATCTGTCCACTGAGGAGAAGGTTCAGAGGAGTTGTTGGATTTGGTGCTATAACCAGCAGTTATGGCCTGACCACGTGGATGGTGTCAGTGTTAGACTCTTGCTCCATGTGCTGTCAGCTATGGATGCAAATTGAACTCTGATCCAGGATAAAACTGGAGGTTGAGCAGCAATGTGGGTGAACCTCGAGCGGAGCAGTCGTGATGGGAACAGTGACTTAAAATCCATCCAGGAATAGCAGAACTTGGGTACCTGATGCTGACTTCAGTCTTCCTCCTTGGATTCTGCAAACACTGTGAGGTTCCTTTTACCCTGGGTGTTGGCTAGTGCTGCTCTCACCCACTCCCTAAGTGCACCAAAGGTCACTATGAGCCCAGAACCTGGACAAACAGTCTGAGGGAAGTCCCTGTCACTTCTGAAGGGACTTAAGGGGGAGGAATGACAGATGTAATGCTCAGGTTAGCAACACTAGATGAACTGGATAGCAGCAAAACTGTCAGCAAGTGCCAGACCTTAGAGTGGAGATGACATGGGAGATCCTCCTGGGTGGCTCCAGAACCTGGACTGGCTCCTGGCTGCTCATTTCCTATCAGAAGGGCAATCAGACTACTCAAACTGGCCACCTTCAACATCTGGTGTGGCATTCCAGTCCACAGGCATTCCTCGTCTTTGCTGGAACTGCCTCTGAGGCTCACCTGCGGAGATGGCTCCATGCTGCTCTGCTTATGGAATTGCTGAAATCCCTTCACGTGTTCTGGAGAGATGTAGAAAAAGTCATCAAAGCGTGTTGCCTTCACAAATAGTTTAGAAATGATATGTGGGACCACAGTGAACAATATCACACAGATTCCTGTCTTACCTGTCCTTCCTTGCTGCCAGTTGCTTCAACTTTCAAAGGAAGTTGTTACTTCTGGGTCCTCTGGAAGTTGCAGGCACTGACTTGGTTCCTTGAGCTCCTGCTGTCACTGTTGGGTTGTTGAGCTCCTGCTGTTACTGACTGTTGGTTTGCTGAGGTCCTGCTGTCACTGACTGTTCTTTGTTGCAGAAGTACCACTCTGAGAGCAAAGGCCCTGACCAAGTGGCAGAGACACAGGCCCAGATTGATGAGCTCAAAGGAATCATGGTCCGGAACATAGGTACCTGCTTCCCTTGGGAAATGCTCTCTGTAGCTTTATTTTGTGTCAGACTCTGGTTCGGGTTTCTGACAAGTCTGACCATTCAAAATAGAAGGTTAGATCTGGAATTGACCAAACTTTAGTCCCATAACAGCTTGTCTGGTATGAGGCTATTTCTGAAGTCCCTGACAATCCTGGAAAGGCTGAGAACTGCTTAATGCCTAATAAACTGCAGCCAAGAGCTCCTGGCTTGGAGTTGGGTGTTGGAAGCAGCTTTTTGCACTGGTATTCTACCATCAAATCTGGATTTTTGCCTCTTTCTGCAGATCTTGTGGCACAAAGAGGAGAGAAGCTGGAGCTGCTAATTGATAAAACAGAGAATCTTGTGGATTCGGTGAGTCTGGAGGAAAACTTGGGAATGGGGAAATAGTATTCCTGCATCAGCTGTGCTCCACAGGGAGCAGGGGAGGTGGAGACCAGAGTCCAGAGACAGTTATACAGACACACAAGTATCTAGACCTGCAGGTAACCCTTCCTTGTGTTACACATGGGTTGTGTCTTACCCCTCCCCTCCTTAAAGCTGTTTCCCAGCTGCATCCCAGTCTGGGAAAGAACCAGCTCACACCTGCTCCTCTGTGCCACAACCAGCCACAGGCTGACACTCTGCCAGCACCAGCTGAGGCGGTTGTTGTCTTCATCTCTTGTGCCCAAGGTGGGGAAAACCCACACTTTTCCAGGATTGATAGGAAAGATACAATCAGAATTGAATCTTCTCTTGCAGCCCAGTGTGAAGTCAGCTTGATGCAGGTAGACTGAAAAATGTGAATCTGTGGAGCTGTTGTGATACACCAACAGGGAAAGTGTAGCTGATTTAAGAACAGCTGAGTTGTTCCACATAAATACCCTGTAAAAGTCTCTGGAGCTTCATGGAGTGTTTCTAAGTGAGAGAAGACTAAAAAACCCCTGAAATTTAACATAATTCTAAAGCACTGTGTTATCTAGTAAAGTGCTGTGCACTCTGGGAATCCCTAGCCCTGGCTCAGCATCTTCCTCTGCAGCATCCTGGCTTGGTGCCCAGTTCCTGTGGCAGCCAACCCTCCAAAGCCAGTCCTCAGCCTGGGAGAGTGCCAGGATCTCCTGTGTGGGGCTTGTGGGCATCCAAACGTCTCTAGGCTGGCAGAAAGTCTCCATGTTTTGAGGAACCAGTGGAGATGCCTGGAGCTTATCCATCAGGAAAACCTGTCCTCCAGCTCCATAGTTTAAACCTTGCCACATCCTCAGGTGGTGACAGTAGTGTCACCTCAGGTAATGCTTTAGGCAGAGGCACTGGAATTCCTTCAGCAATTAGGCTGAAAGTGCTCCTGCGGGGAGTGCTGGTTCTGTGAAACCAAACAGGACATGAAGGGATGGGAAACACTTCCAGTGTCCTACAGTCCTGTGGTGAGTGTCCTAGGAGATCCAGGGTGAAGTTCTCCAGCTTGGGAATGGGCTCTAAGTCAGAAGTACAGTTCACAGGATGCAGTTCCTGCCTGGTGCAGCCCCATCGAAGGGTGGTTTGTGGGAAAAGCTTGGGAATGCCCAGTGGAGGGAGCTGCTGGGCTGGCTGCTTCCAGGTACTACCTCTCCTGAGCTGTGCAGGGAAAGGGTGTGGAAACAGCTGCACTGACCCAGCCTGGTAGGGATTTGGGGTCATTTGGAGACCAAACCCTATTCGGAATGAGTGGAGTTGAAGGATACAGAGAGGAGACTTGGAATGGGACAACTATAAGCTTTCCATAACAGGTTGCCCAGAGCAGCTGTGGCTGCCCCATTCCTGGAAGTGTTCCAGGCCAGGCTGGATGGGGCTTGGAGCAACCTGAGCTAGTGGAAAGTGTCCCTGGAATTATCTCCTAAGATGACTGTGGACTGACTTGTACACGTTATCTTTCCCCTGGAGTGGTGTGGGAGAGTTTTCTCTTGATGCCTGTTTAGTCTTAACAGGAGTTAAATGGTTCTGGAGTAGAAAACTGCTGTGGTTTGGGTTATTAGAGGGGTAGTGGTTAGGAAAAGCATGTGCCTCTTCATGGAGTTTCCTGGGATACAGCTTCCTTCAGGAATTAATTCCTTGTTTTCCTTCCTCTTCCAGTCAGTCACTTTCAAAACAACCAGCAGGAACCTTGCTCGAGCCATGTGTATGAAGAACCTCAAGCTCACCATTGTCATCATCATCGTGTCCCTTGTAAGTGTGGAGCACAGGAACCTACAGCTCCTCCATCAGGCTGAACCTCTAGGAAACACCAACCCCATGTTCCTGTCCTTCGACCCTCATGCTGAGCTCTGCCTCAAAGGTGTTGGCTGTAAAACAAGGGGTTTGATGATCTTGTGTGAGGAAAGGGTGAAGGAGCTGGAACATAAATCTTATGAGGAATGGCTGAGGGAGCTGGGGGTGCTCAGCCTGGAGAAAAGGAGGCTCAAGGGGACCTTCTTGCTCCCTACAACTCCCTAACAGGAGGTGGTGGTGAGGTGGGGGGCGGGCTCTGCTCCCAGGGAACTGTGGAAATGGCATTAAATTGCACCAGGGAGGTTCAGGTTGGATATTAGAAAAATGTTCTTTGCTGAAAGAGTGGTTAAGCACTGGAAGGGACTGCCCAGGGCAGTGGTGGAGTCACTAGCCCTGGAGGTGTTCAGAAAACAAGTGGATATGGCATTTTGTGATATGGTTTGATGATCACGGTGGGATTTGGTTGAAGGTTAGACTTGATGATCTTTTCCAGCCTTCATGATTCCACAAGAGGAATGTGGAGCACCGTGGCAGTGAGCTGCGTGTGTGCAGCTGAGGTCTGGGTTCATGGCTGCACTGCTCTAGCTGTGGTGGCTTCTTAGGCCTCTTCTTACTTAACTCTGAAGGAGCTGTTTGTGGTGTGGCAGTGCCCCTCCAGCCTGTGTGACCTGCAGGGAGAGCAGTGTGTGGGTGCTGGAGGGGAACTGCAGGTTCAGTGTGTGAAGCACTTTGTCACCACCAAACCTAACTCCGTATGCTCCTGGAGGACATTCTCAGCCTTGTGTTGCTGCAGGGATGTGGGGAGAGGAGAGGGTTGGGCAGGTTCTTTAGGGGCTTGATGAATCACAGAATCCCATACTGCACCAGGCTGGAAGGGACTACAGTCGGTCATCTGGTCCCACCTCCCTGCTGAAGCAGGGTCAGCCCAGAGCACGTGGTACAGGATTGCGTTCAGACAGCTCTGGAATACCTCCAGTGAGGGAGACTTGACACCCACTCTGGGCAATCTGTTCAGTGCTTGGTCACTGCACAGGAAAGTTCTTCCTTATGTCCAGGAGTTTCCTGGCCATCAGTTCGTGCCTGTTGCTTTTTGTCCAATTGCTGGGCACCATGGAGCAGAGCCTGATCCATCGTTTGACAGATACTCCCTGCAGATACTGACAGACAGTGATGAGGTCCCTCTCAGACATCTCTTCTGGAGGCTGAACAGGCCCAGCTCCTTCAGCCTTTCCTTGTAAGAGAGATGCTCTAGTCCTTCCATCATCACAGTCTGTGCTGGACCTGCTCCAGGAGCTTCATGTCTCCTGTCCTGAGCAGCCCAGAACTGGACACAGCACTCCAGATGTGCCTCACCAGGGCTGAGCACAGGGGCAGGATCACCTCCCTGACCTGCTGGCAGTGCTCCTCCTAATGCAACCTGGGGTTTCCAAGTGTGTGTTTTGGCAGTTGTCTGAATGATGAAAATCTGTAATTCCCTCCAGAATTTCTGTTTTCCTTCCCCAGGTCATCATCTACATCATCCTGTCAGCAGCCTGTGGGGGGCTGGCATGGCCCAACTGTGTGCAGAAGTAAGTGGAGGCAGCTGTGCTGGTTGCTCGGAGATGAGTCACAGGAGTGTGAAGAAGCAAAGCTACAGAGTAACTTACCCGTCACTACTGACACCTTCTCATCCCTCCGTCCCTCCAGGACTTCAGACTCTTTGCCTTATCACCCTAAACAGGCCCAGCTGGTTGCTGCTCCTGCAGCTGGGACCTCCAGAGAGGGCTGGTTGATTACTTGAAGGGATTGTTTTGTTCCTTTTTCTGTCCCAGTGACACTCCTCCTGGGTCCAGAGGGTTCTGTGCATGCTGCCCCATGTCCGTGTGGCTTTGCACTTGGCTGGGGAATAGGACTGGCTGCAGCTGTCCTACCCATGAGGATGGAGTCAGAGGGTGGTTCAGGGTGGGCTGAGCCAAACTACCAGGGGAGGGACTAGATGGTTTGAGTTTCCACAGCTCCTGGAGGTGCAGGTGCCTTTCCCTGCACATCTGGCCACATGTGGCTCTGCGTGCTTCAACACATGGAGGTCACAGGTGTGATCCAGGTAGTAACCAAATGAATGCGGTTTGGGCTTTGTGCACTGAGAGGTAGAGGTGCTGCTGCTGTGGGAAATCTCCCTTTTTCTGGAGGTGTTCCTGCAGGTGGTAGGAGGGTGTTGGGTCACCTCAGCTGCCTCTTCATCCTCACTTCTTCCTCATCTCCCCCTTGATTTGTGGCTTAATGGACACAGTAAAGGAGACAGTTGCACATAGTTAAGGTTGCAGTAATGTATCTGCTTTCTCACAGGTTATGTCTCCTGTTGTTCTTTGGAGGGTGGACTAAAATGAACATAATGCTGTCACTAGTCAAGGTGAAATTGGGGCCAATCTGTTGCTCTGGCTTGATAAGGTGTCAGGTAGCTGCTGTTTGTGCTTCTCCTTGAAAGATGTGTGCTAGAACCGGAGGACAGAGAAGGGATGGAGGGTTGGAGTTGATGGATGGTGATTTTCTCTAAGAAAGGCTCTGCCAGAGGGTGTAGTAATGTATCCTCTGAAATACATTCAAACCAAACCCAAGGCTGATAACCAAATGCAGGTCAGGTGTGCTGTGGTGAGTGCTGTGTCTGTCCCAGCTCACACCTGAACCACCAATGAGGCCTGGCTGGCAGAGCTGAAGCCGCTGCTGCCTGGGCCAGGGATGTTGGCACTTCTGTCCTGAAGCCCATCGGCTCCTTTCCCAGAGAAGAAATAAATCCATGGGTGCAGAGGTGACAGCTGTGGAGGTTGGGGAAGGGGAGGCTTCATTTGGGACTGAGCTGGAGCTCATGGCTGGTGCTGTGGGCTCCTGGTGACACAGGCAGGGCAGGGACGTCATACTGCTGCTCCTTCATGTGTTCCACTGACCATGGAGCTACCCAGCAGGTCCTGGATAATGAGTTCTCCTATAAACTTATATCTCCTTTGGATTTGTCTTCTCTGCTGGGCTGAAATTTCACCAAGGGTGATGGGATCTTGCTATCCAGAAGGTGTCAGTGGCCACTGGCACCTGCTTGTTTTTATGTAAATGGAATGTAAAGCTTAGAGAAAGCCCTTCGCCCTCAGCTCCTGCAGCCCCAGCTGTGCATGTTTTAGGGATTGTGGTGTTACTGTGTTCATTTCAATAATGTCTTATGTAAAAATAATTTTTAAAGAAAATCCTTCCTTTCCTTTTAAAGGATGCACTGAGGCATTAGTGTAAAAACAGTTAACTTGATTTCAATAAAATTCCTGTACAGAAAGCAGAGTTCCTTAGTTTTGTGGGAGTCTTTCACCTGCTGTGGGAATGCTCAGTGCTGATACACGTTAGGGTTTGGAAGCAGTTCCTGCATTGGGATGAGGGAGTTGGATTTCCTCCTAACTTGCAGGAGCTGTTAAGAGTTGTTGTCATCTCAGTTTGAGGCAAAGCTACATTTTAATGGTATCAGCCAGGGCTGAACATGATAGTGAACGTTGGAATCTGAAGGGAAAGCACTTGGCATGGGAACAGCATCAAAAAAGGAAAGGATCAAACTTCAGTTTCATATCATTGGTGTCATGGTTCTTATACAGCTGGGCTTTGTGCTCAGTGTTTGCTCCTGAGACAGGACAGCCATTCCCCAGTACGTGGCAGCAACAGATTGTATTTTAAATGCCCATGAATCCAAGCAGAATCCAACCTCAATACCTTTGTACTCCACCCAAAATGTGTACCCAGGTCTGTATCTCCGCAGGCTGCAGAGATCCACAGGAACAATCTGTCCTGCCTGCTAGGCTTTAACTAGAATATAACCTACTATTACACATTTTACGCTCTGAGGCAGTTTTTTGCACTTTACCTAGTGTTAAGTATCCATGAAATAGCAGCAGCTGTCAGGCAACCACAGAGAACTGAAGTGCCTGGAAAATGCCAGCATGCTCCCACCTTTGGGGTACAGAGCACAGGAGAGACAACAGGAGAACCCTCAAATACTACAGAAATCAAACAGAAGTGTTGCTGGTCTGTTACCTTTCAGTGCAATGGGAAGATCCATGTGACCTTGTTCCAGCTTTTCCACCAGGTAGAAGAATTCGAAATTAACCTTTTCCATAAAGGAAAAGCCTGAACAGGGCAGTGCTGGGAACCTGCTGAGCTCTGTCTGAGGCAGGGAGAAGCTATGTGTGTAACAACAGTTGTGTCTGACACTGGCCCAGGTGGAAGGGAGGGGATTGGAGTCAGAGAGTGAGCAGCAGCTCCAGTTGAGGCTCACGTGCCACTTCTCTCCTGTAACAGTGCTCAGCGGCTGGCAGTGACAGTCCTGTGCTGGCACTGTCCTAGGTGAGGTGACTTGGTGCTGCAGGAACATGCTTGGGCCAGTCACACATCACTGTGGTAGCTCCTGTCTCTTCCTCCTTCATCTCTGGATCCCAACAAGAGATCTCCGCAGTGAAGGGTCCTGCAGAGCTTCCCAGGGGTGAGTGTTGCTTCCTGGCTTTGGTTCTGCTTAGGCCACATGTGGATGTTCTAGAAATGACACAAACTGAGTGCTGTTATAGGTTTTCCTTCACACACCCCATTCTCCTGAACTCCAAGGAATTAAAGGTCAAATCTCACCACTTGCATCCCTGTTTATTAACCATGCTGAGCTCCAGGAGGGCCCAACCTGTCAGGAAAAGCCTCATTCCTGGCACAAAAGTCAATCCAAGTCAGGCTCACAGTTGGAATAAAGTAGATCTATTTCAGCACCATAACATTTTATTAAACTACACTATCAAAGTCACATTGATGGCAGGGAGAACATTGCTATCAGTGCATATTTCCTGGACTAAGACTGTACTCATAGCAACCAGCACTTACTGAGGGAAAGGACACTGGACCAGAATCCTTAAGAGACAGTAGAAAACTTCTACAAAAGTCAGGGCAGTTGAGAACCAGCTGAGAGATCAAACAATTGAAGACAAAGCTGTCAGGAAGGGTTGTTTTTTAAAAGTTTGCTCTTAATTGGTGTTGAACTTGCTCAGCTGAGGTAAGAAGGTGCTGCTAACCAGCAGTTTGTAACTGGTGGCCCTGTCCCTGCCTGCTCACACCCCACACAAATATTGTGTACTGCTCCTTGGCTCATTATCTGTGCTGGCACCTGGATACAACAGCTCAAAAGTGTTCTACAGTTATAAAAACCTGCTGCAGCTCTAGACCAAACAATAAAAAGTAGCAGAAATACATTCTATACAGAAATTAAAAAAAACAAAACCCAAAACAAAAAAAAAAAAAAACAAAACCAAAATAAACCAAACCCTGTTGAGTTTCAGACAAGTACATCAGGTTGGATTTAAAAAGTCTTAATTCTAACACCTATGTCACTATTTCTAGTCTCCCCAAGCTCTGCCACCCCACAGCACCGGCTCAGAGCTGCTTCCTGGCACAGAAGACACCCCCAGCCTCCCCCAGGTCTGTGACAGACCTTCCTGAGGGCTGCAGCAGGGGTGGAGATGAAATAAGGCTATTTTCAGTCTTCCTGGGAAGACTCATGGTGCAGTTGTGTGTTGAAGCCGTTGTGTGTCTCACCACACCAGCTTGGGCTCTTGGCAGTGCAGGAGGTGAGGATGGTTTGTGTTGGAGAGCAGAGGAATATGTACAACAGTCTGCAGTGAGATGGGGCTTGAGGTTCCTTTTCCAGTAAGGTGATGCCCAGCCAGCTGGGGCTCTGCTCCACAAGGTGTGTTGGAGTGTCAGTAGCACCCATCCTTCCAGGAGTCATCCTCAGGGGCCTGAGGGGTCTGTGCTGACTGAAGGAACCTGGTTGGAGACAAAAAAACAGGTCACAGCTCCAAGGGCCAAAGCTCTAGTGACCTGTGATGGACACAAGTTTGAGGGGGTTTTTCCAACATCTGCCTGCCACGGGTGAGCTGCTGCAGTCACACCCCAGGCACTAGCAGCACCAAGTTCAAGCACCTGGAAAACTTGTTTTATCATTTCTCAGCAGATCAGAAAGCTGCACCGCTAGATTTGTCTGCATTTTTGTCTACTTCTTTCCATAACTTGATGGCTTAAAATAAGACACTTTATTTTAAATACAATCTCCTATCTGCCTCCCCAACACATAGTGGTCTGTCTCATGTACCTTGTGTGCTCCCAGGGCAGGAAGGACACTAGAGCACTGACTCCAAGTAAAACACATCAAAGGCAGGAACAGGATGGTTGCACAAGGCTTGGGGTATTAAGGAAAGGACAAGTTAAAACTTCCCCCTCCTACAGGAAAGCTGTGACTGAATTCTCCCAGTGACAGGGAAGGAATGTTGATGGCTCTTGCTAGGAAGGAACAGCACTTGGAGGAAGTTGGTTTAGCTGGGCTTTTTTCCCACCTAAGTGTAATTGTTACCCAGAGCAGCTGTGGCTGCCCCATCCCTGGGAGTGTTCCAGGCCAGGCTGGACAGGGCTTGGAGCAACCTGGTCTAGTGGAAGGTGTCCCTGCTCATGGCAGGGGAGTGGAACAAGATGAGCTTTAACCCAACCCAAATCATTCCAGAATTCTATGAAATGCAGGAAGACCAAGTTCTGGAGGAAAGCTGTGGCACTAAAGGACTTGTGTTGTCCCTGAGGAAAGGGCTGTCAGGAGTAACCATATGGGTAGTCCCATTTTGGCAGGTGCATTTACACCAATCAAGTTGCATGTAATAGGCTGCCGATTAGATCAGTGGATCTATAAATCTTTTGGAGCACTTCAGTTCCCAAAAGGTTGAGAGTCAGATGAGAACCACACCCAAAGT